GCACGATCAAATATGTGCACGATCAAATATGTGCACGATCAAATATGTGCACGATCAAATATGTGCACGATCAAATATGTGCACGATCAAATATGTGCACGATCAAATATGTGCACGATCAAATATGTGCACGATCAAATATGTGCACGATCAAAAGTATAGTGCGTTCAAAAAGAAATTTGACGAAAATTTGATCGTGTGAACTAAAAAAAAAAAAAATTCGATCAAACTTCCGTTCGATCAAACTATCCGTCGGTCAATTTTCCGTCGACGAAATTTCTTTCAAACAAATTTCCGGTAACCGCTAATTTTTCATACTGCCCACGGTAAGCTAATTGTTCATACTGTCCAAAAAACAAGTTAGAAACGCAATTGTATAATTCATTGTTTAAAAAAAACAATCTATGTAATAAACTCATGACCAAATCCACAGTTTGTTTCCATGCACAGTTTGTTTCCATGCACAGTTTGTTTCCATGCACAGTTTGTTTCCATGCACAGTTTGTTTCCATGCACAGTTTGTTTCCATGCACAGTTTGTTTCCATGCACAGTTTGTTTTATGATTGCACTTACATGGGGCGCCAAAGTTAAGCTTAGCCGGGGCGCCAACACCCCTAGGGCCGGCACCCTGGTTATATAACGTAATAAAGGGTGGGGTGGACGGGTTACAATGTCCTATGTTTATGTTATTCTAATATATGCACGTCCCCCATCATGTCATAAATTATAATTGTTTATAAATAACTTCATCTCGCATCGTCATGTTTCCCACTGACATCTATAAGTTTATCAATTTTAATTTGGTAGTATTTTAAAATTGATTTATTGAACACAAAAAAAAAAAATAATAAATAAATACATGACTAAAAGGCGCCGCTGACAACGTTAGATTTTGGTGCCTCTATTTTAAAAGATTACTTTAAAAAAAAAAAAACTCTTTTGTTTAAAGCAGAGCCGTCACGTGACTTTTAGAGGTCCCCTGCCCCTTTTCGTTGGTGCTTCTCTGTATTTAAAGTTACCCGTCATTGTTAACTGTGTCCTGGCCATAAAGGTACAGTTCAACATAGTATTGCACTGATTAGACTAAACTCGACTATTTCCATAATGTGTTACACATGAAAATGTCATAGATACATATTTTTATAATGATAAATTAGATGCCGTTTTTATTTTGTCAAACATGGACATTGACAAAACGGAAATGAAAGTTGAATGAAAATGCATTAAAAAAATCTTCGTTTAAATAAATAAATCTTTTTATTTTTTTAAGAAAGAAATGGAAACAAGGACAGTTTCAGTTGTATTTATTTTGTTGCTTGGGACCACTGGGGTCAAAGTTCATATTATTGAATAGGACAAAAAAAATGGCCATCAATTGAAATTGCAGTATAAGAAATGCATCAGCTAATCACACTGTCCTGACATGTCAAACTACGATGATATTATTGCGCTAAATAGTTCAAAATTGTGATGAAAATACGACAGAACATGTATATGAACAAACTTTAATGTACACATGTTTCATTGTACACATAATTATGACACGTACACACTGTATTGAACATGAGATGAGCGGTGCGCTGCAACCTTGAGGATGACAAGGTCATTAGTATTTACATGGTGACACGTGGGGGTCAATCATTGGTCAGTGAGGGTCGCACCAAGGAAAGTGTTGAGCACCGCTGAAATTGGGGACACAGAACGATGTCTGACCATTGACAGTGACGTCACTGGTGGTTAGTGGATATTTTACGAACAGATAATTCACTTTGGGTTTTCTCTCAAACAGCCCCCCACCNCTAAATGATGTTTAAAAATGTTTAGTCTATGATGAAATAATTTTGCTACAACTGATACAAAAAATGGATTCTTTCCATAATTTAAATACCGTATTTATTATCATAATAATAATTTAGAGTTACATTTTTAATTATTTTTTTTTTAAAACGGTGTCAAAAGAAAAGAAATCAAAGAAAATGTAAATTTAAAAAAAAAAAAAAGCATTTCCAATAAATTCCCGACAATGCGTTGCTCGGTCTGATATGCTAAAGACGCCGAGTACAGTGGAACAGCTAGGCTAAGTGACAAATGTTTTTCTATATAGGCCCTACACATGAACAAATACGATGAACGCGGTGACCCTCACTATATGGCCCATGATTTAGGAAAAATTCTCCTTTCGGTTAGCCCCCTCCCCCCCCCCTATTTCTTTAGAACCCTTCTCAATGTCTCTTGCATCATTCTAGAAGACATCACCGACATGATCGTTCAGAGGACCAGATAATGTCTTCTTTTTTCATCATTTTACTTACTTTACACACAAAAATTGATCAACATACACACAGGACTAGATTATTACCCTACATACTGTGTGTTTCATACACTTGATTTAATTATGGTGGAGGTATGGCTTATGAACACTTGACGGGACATTTTTTTTTTGTCTTTGAAATTTGAACAATGCAAAAAAACATTCAGTGACGTATTTAACTTTGTTATTTTTTATTTTGTTTTAATATTTTTTATTTTTTTTTTGTAGCTCGTTCTTGATGATGATTACATTGCTTCTGACCAATCAGCGCGAGGAATCAATGAATTATGCTGCTGGATTCCCTCCCAGTCATGTAACGGACAATTTCATTGGTTAACTGGAATGGCCGTTGCCTTGACTTGCTTCGAGGACATATCATAAAGAGTTATACGCCCGACACACTCCAATACTCTGTCCGCGTTTCAGGATAAATCTCCAATGTAGAGAATAAATGCTATGCTATTTACACAAGGATATCTCCTCTGCACTCTACTCCCTTTACAACGCAAACAAAACACAGCACAGCACTAATAGTTTAGTGGAGAGTTGAACATAGTATTCGTGAAGCCAGTGTTGAATGACAGCAAACCTCAGCGATGTCACCACGCTACCACAGTATCAGTACACTCGAAAAAAAGCCAGCACACTTGAACAGTATCAGCACACTTGAACAGTGTCAGCACGCTTGAAAAATGTCAGCACACTTGAAAATGGCAACACACTTGAAAAATGTCAGCAGACTTGAAAATGCCAGCACACTGGAAAAATGTCAGCACACTTGAAAAATGTCAGCACACTTGAAAATGCCAACACACTTGAAAATGTCAGCACACTTGAAAATGTCAACACACTAAAAAAAATGTCAGCACACTTGAAAATGCCAACACACTTGAAAAATATCAGCACACTACACAATGACACAATTATTACAAATTTGACAATTTCAACCATTTGGTTCTGATTGGTTTAAGAGTATCAACATTGAAACTAATGAATTTTGGTTGATTTTTAAATTATTTTTTTTTAATCTTCCCACAACGCGTCACATTTAAGTCTCGGAATGAAGACTTCCAATGGCGTCAGTGTGGTGTCAGTGTGGTGTCAGTAGACAACAGCATTGTCTCGTCTCAAACTTCTCAATGTGTAAAGCCTCTGGATTGATTTTAGCGCTAGCTGGGCCTCCTCTTTCGTGCTTTCTGGTACTGTAAGGGTTCGTTATTGTGTTTAGTGAATGACGTCATAGAGACATTGTCATGCCAGCTGCCCAGGAAAGTTCATGTTCATCACGTGCATGTTGGCGGCAAGGTGGTGCGAGGCGTAGCTGGACTGGGGCGACTGCATGTACGTGCAAGAGGAGAGGGCGCCGTGGGGGCCCTGACCGGGGCTGGGCCGCAGGCCGTAGCCGGACGACCCGGAAGATGACGAGGACGGCTGCCGCAGGGCGCAGTCGGGCGGGGACTGGGCGGCGAGTCGGCAGGCCGCCATCTGGGAGCTGAAGCTGAGCCCGGGGTTCATGTTGGGGAGGAGAGGGGAGGACGTAGCGGCGGGCAGAAAGGACGGGGCGCCCCCCATGCGCCCCGCCGTCGGGTGGTGGTGCGGGTAGTACACCGAATCCCCCGGCATGCACGATCCGTATCCACTGGATTTGATGGCGCCCTCGTATCCACCGGATTTGAGGGCGCCCCCGTACTGGCATGGTGTGGGGGAAGGGGCCGGGCTGGCCTCGCCGGAAGGCAATCTCTTGTGCGGCGGGTCGTGCTTGCTGCCCAGCACGTGGCAGTTGGAGGACGTCATCATGTCGGTGCGATCCTGCGAGACATCGTCCGTGGAGTCAGCCTGTGACGAGATGCGCTCCTCTTTGATGGGCTGCGATGACGTCATCCGTTGACTGTCCATCTTCATGGCCAGCATATCGTCGGGCCGTCCCCTTTTTGCCTGGTCATCTGGAAACATAAAGAAAGAAAAATCCGTGGCATGACGTCTTTAAAAAACAACAACTTGATCTTATAGGAGTTTTTGTTTTTTCTTTGATTAATTTTTTAAAAAAGCAGATTTTTATTATTATTATTATTTTATAAAGTGAGGTTGTTTTTTTGGGTTGGGGGGGGGGGGGGTNGCCACTATCGCCAGTAAATAAAAAAAGATGTCCCATCAATCCCAGTCAACGACAAAAAAAATCTACGAAACAATGCGAGGATCAAGTAGAATTCTCCCAGCCTCTTGTGTTGTTTCTAGTGATAGAGACAGCGTCATAAGCAGCGACATTAATATTTCAAACACACCAGGGAGAAAACTGGGAGTTGGGGGGAGAAGGGTGGTGATGGTGTGGGGGGGGGGGAGGGTCGATGGCTATAGAAACCGACGCATTAGACAACCATGGACAAGTCCATCTGGTTCCATCGCTCGGTCAACAACAGTGAGTCTCAAAAGGAGTATCATAAAAGTGCTTCGACCTCTCTAATCATTTTCAATTTCTGCCCCGTATAGAACCCATGGGGTAAATGAGGCAGCGTCCCCGTGGGCACTTGACGTTTATCGGGCTCGGGGTTTGATTTGCCTCAGATAAATACTTCCAAGTGTCTTGGTCAGATCTCATAGAGAACCGCCGATGTGTTTGGGAAAGGCATTCAACTGGTCAACTGGTCAACTACACCAATCTGGTGGATTTATTTATAGAATTTAGTACACGACACCCAGGAATCATTGAGTAACCCATCACCCCCCCCCCCCCAAACCAAACTAAAAAAAATAAAACATAATTCAAAAACCCAAAAATGCCTGCATTCCAGCCAGACCCGTTCACTATCTACGGAAGGCAGTTATCAAATCGACCAATCGAAATGCTCCAACACGGATACAAGGAACACAATGAGCAGTTAACTGTAAGTAATCTACTTTGTTTTGTTCCGTAGCTTTTACTTTCACCTACTGCCATTTTAAGTTTAACGCCAATAACGTCATGTCAAGGAATGCCATGTTCGGATGACTTAATGTTGCGACCTTACTATGTGCCATGACACTCAGCTCTGCGGCCTTATTTCACATGTTTGAGACTGTTTGCAGCACAAGGAAAAAGAATACGATCCACTCTTCAGTCACCACGGCAGATTGTGTCATATTGGTGGCAATGGTGTCACAGCCACAGAATGTGACATACTGATGGACGTGTTGTCACAAAAATGATATTTTTTTTTTACTTTTCAAAAAATACATTTTTTAAGCTGCGCCCCCCCCCCCTCCCCGACTACAATATGAGGACCGTTCCTCCCTGACCACAGTTCCCCTATCAGTTTGACCATACTGTGTGGCTCCTCTTCCCATCGCTCTCCACATCCTTCTTTCATTCCAGTTGCCCAAAAAGCCCCAGCCAGGTGTTTGCATCATTTCGCGCGATCTCATAATCCAATTTGCGCGCAAGCGGAAGGTGCGAAAACGGACTCCGCGGAAGAGAGCCTTTATGCCTGGACTAATTTCACCAGCTCATTAATATTGCAGCGGAAAGCGGCAAACTCGATCGTCTGCGCTCAATTTCTCAGCGGCTTCCCTGCCCTCGCGGGACGAGAGTTCCATCAGCCCCACGGAGACGGAGCTGGCAGGGCTAAATTCTGAGCGCGCAGAAAATGCGCCATTTTCGTCGAGTAGGGTGATAAAGAAAATCGCAGCGTAAGTTACTTACTCCCAGCCCGTGCCGAGGCGTTGGGGTTGGACTTGGTCGCAAATTGAACTAACACAAACATTTACTGGTAATGGGAAAACGACAGGGACGGCAACTGCGAGAGACGAGAATGGGGTTTGAGAAAGGCTGGGTGGATAAGAGAGTATGGAGAGGTCCATGTAAGATCTGAGTGGTTGGGGTTAATCTCTCGCCGTGAAATTACGGGGTTATTTTGTGTAATCATATAGGAATAGGTGAAATGTTTTTGTTTTTTTTTAATTATCCCAAGAATCTTCTAGAATTTATTTGCATAAAAGTACATTTTTTAAAAGCAAGCCGTATGAGAAGATCAAGGGACGCGCTAAAAAAATTATACATAAATTAAGTTCGTTTGTATTATTTACTCCACTAACCATTTAGTGACCCAATACCTGGTCAACTTGTAAAGACTGAAAATCCTCCACCCCCAGCCCCCACAGCATACTGTCTATGTACGTGGTGGTGACGTGTTGTATCAATCAATAGTTGTTAATTGTTTCAGCTGTAATCTTATTGCATTGCACACCTATTTTATTGTGCCAAGTAGTAAGTAATGGTTCCGAATGGTGTCCAGCGACACCGAATGGTATCGAACGGCACCGAATAGTATTCTTCTTCTTCTATATCTTAAGGGCCCACGATCAATTTATTGATCATTTTGGCTCCTATGCATGTAGATGGGATTTGCAATGTTTCTGTTACTGGTGGTGATGAGGAAATTATGCACTAGGGGTTTGAAGGCTTGAGGCAATAGACACAAATGTGTCTAGTGTTGTCGATTGCATTTAACTACACCTAACTTGTACGAGGGTATCTTATGCAAATAGCTGTACCGAATGGTACGAGTGAATAATATTCAAGAATTCCACAGCACACAAATAAAGCCAGTGAATAGGGGGGACTGTACTCTACCTTTCTCTCTGTCCGAGTCGCCGTCAGACGGTCTTTTCAATGGCAGACGATGGTCTCTGGAAAATGCAGAACTAAAATTGATAAAAAATATCAAAAAGTCAAAGATGGGAGATAGATTGGCCGCCTGCCCATAACGAGAGCGGGAACAAAGACTGGAACCTTTAGATGAAAGGAAAATCTTCATACAACTATAACGACTATAACAACTATCATAGCTTTACCAAATATAACATATATAACAGCTATAATAATTATAATAAATATAACAGCTATAACAACTATAATATATATATAACAGCTATAACAACTATAATATATATAACAGCTATAACAACTATAATATATATAACAGCTATAACAACTATAACAGCTATAACAGCTGTAACAGCTTTATCAAATATAACATATATAACAGCTATAATAACTATAAGAACTGTAACAGCTACAATAACTATAACATATATAACAGATATAACAACTATATCACATTTAATAACAACTATAACATATGTAACAGATACAACAACCGTAACAAATATAACATATAACAACTGTAACACATTAAAACTGTAACATATAACAACTATGTAGCATATATAACAGAAATAACAACTATACAATTAACAATAAATGTTATCGAGAAAACAAGTACCATACAATCAAAAATTAATAATTTGAATTGACCCATTGGGAACATTTAATCAAGATATTTATATAGTTTTATAGTTGTTGGAATTTTCCCGTTAAATGAATCAATAGTAATTATGAAAAGAAAAAAAAACTTTGTTTTTTTTTTATACTTTGACAAGCGATGGAAATTTTGTTAATTCGTTTATACATACGCAAATGGCATAACTTTTATAGTTGTTGGAATTTTCCCTTTAAATGAATCAATAGTAATGATAAAAAAGTTTGTGTATAGTACTGCAGGTACTAATTGAGCAACATGTGATAGCAACACCCTTGACAGCAACACCATTGGCAGTATCGATATTGACAACACCATTGACAAAGTCACTTTTCTCAGGAACTCTACCAACAAAGAAGACACAATGTATATATGACAGCAAATGACAGCATTTCATTGACTTACTTTCTTCCCAGGCCGTTGTCTCTGAAACCTTTCGCAAACGGGTTGTGGTCTATTTTTAGCTGTGTGATCTGGAGTATGGATTGGAACGAAGATGTGAACATTTGGTCAGTATGGATTGGAACGAAGATGTGAACATTTGGTCAGTATGGATTGGAACGAAGATGTGAACATTTGGTCAGTATGGATTGGAACGAAGATGTGAACATTTGGTCAAAGTCTTTTGGGACGTTTACTGACAACAAAAGGTACCACAATAAATTCATTTGGGACGTTTATTGACAGCGAGACCTACACCCTAAATTCGTTGAATTTTTTTTTTTTCTTAAGTTGAAAATATATTGAGACGTTATCTTCAACTGTTTTCTTTACAGCTGGGCTGCTGTGTAGCACAGCATGGCTGCCAGACAATATGGCCGATCGGCTGAGACACACACTGCAGGTTCCCGCGATGTGCCGAGAGTTCATGTGAAATTAATTAGTCGTCCAGGGTCATTCGGTACTCGGCACGGGCAAAATTAGGTTACGGGTGTCAGCGTCATTAAGATAATCTGAGAGTCTCCATCCCTGCCATGACACCACACCACCCCCGCGATGACACCAAACCACCCATGCCATGATACCCCACTACCCCTGCCATGACACACCAACACCCCTGCCATGACACACCAACACCCCTGCCATGACACCGCTCCTTCCCCACCGTGTTTTTGAAATAAACTTTATTATTATTATTATTATGACACCGCACCACACCCGCCATGACACCACGCCACCCCGCCATGACACCGCGCCACCCCCGCCATGACACTACACCACCCCTGCCATAACACCACACCACCCATCGGTACTGTGGTGTGGTGGGGACGGTTGACACCCCACCACCCCTGCCATGACACCACACCACCCCTGCCATGACACCGCGCCACCCCCGTTTCGCTCTCGTCTCACCAACCGTAACTCTATCTTAATATGTACAATGTTTTGTGTCACAGCGTATGTTAAGTTTTGAAGTTCGAACAGTTCAAGTGAATACCTGGCTGCCAACGCATTGGGGACTAATGCTGAGGGCCCAACACAAATGAGCGCCCACCTCACACAAAGAAACCATTTCTCCCGCTCTCTCTAGAAACATGACGCCCTGATCAACCAGGGTGCCCTGATCAAACATGACACACTGATCAAACATGACGCCCTGATCAAACATGGCGCCCTGATCAATCATGGCACCCTGATCAATCATGGCGCCCTGATCAA